TTGAACTATTACAAAACATCTTATATGATGCTGCTTTAAAAACTAAAAGAAAATATAAAATAACATAGAGAAATTCTTCTGTTTTGTTTTTTGGCGTGAGTTATATCAATACAATACTTCCTATCAATAATTCATAAAGGCTAGTTATTCTACTTTGATGACTTCTATCTTCTACACATAATATATTTAATCTGACTAATGGCAATAAAGATGATCAATGAATTTTACTCACGATAAGTCATGTAATTACAATGATCATAAGGTAAAGAAGAAAAGACCCACTACGATTCGTTGTATGTTATTTAACCATCATCTCGCGTGATACTTTGAAATAGAGGTGAAATTCCCTTGAGAATATACAATGCATACATTTTATATAGATCAATACAACGATATACGAATTAAAAAAAAAAATGAAAACTGAAAAACTTTTTTATACCAAGATAATGATGACTATAGAAAAATAATGTTGATTTAGCTTAAAGATCATGATGTTTTTCCTAGACGAAATCGAAATTCTTCTTGCATATGCTGGAAGACAAGCAAACAAGAAAAACGGTGTTTAAACACCATGAGCTTAACTATCATAACAATTTGCTACATCATTCAAAACCCATTTTATCATACTTAAAAATATTTAATTGTTTAAAACATTTTTACTGCTTGAACACATGAAATTTGGAGCTCAATTATCATTTGAATGAGTGTTTGTTTTTATATACAAGCAGTTTTACTAGTTTGAAAGTTTTCAATGTTGAAGAGTATTCCCCAAAATATTTTTTTTCGACCATCAAATCTTGATGAAGTCTTCAGAGGAGACGTATCTCAAGTTGGACCTCTCGCAGTAAATGTTTCAGCTCAATATATTGTGACTATACAGACTTAGTTTAACATTATTAGTCAAAATATATGTGTATATATGTCACATAATTCTTCATCATTTCAAATGCTAGAAAGTTCGGACTAGTCTCAAAGTGTAGTTTTGAGTAAATATTAAAGGATGTGGAGTTTACGTGTGGCAATAAATGTGAGTATAACCCTTAATTTCTCCCATATCCACATGCCGAAATTCAATACCTTTATGATAATCAATAGAAGCTGCTCCGATAACAAACTGATATAATATTTTCTAAAGAATTTTCTTCCGAATTTATTGAAAAAATTGATTTTCAAGACAAAATAAACACTTTTCGATTGAGTATGTCCATCATATTGAACAATTGTTAGAAAATCGACACTTTGACTTCTCAACCCTCGAACGCCTTTTGTGAATCCAGGTGAACCCACAAAAACCGTCCGAGTATAAATATATTATTATTTGCATTCCGAATCATAGATCGTTAAATGAATAGATCATTTCTGATAAATTATTAGTTGACGCACAAACAAAAATAAAACTCGACTGCACCATACCATTGCATGTCATATAAAAAAAATGAAAAATATCTTTGTTAAATAAAGCATTTCTTTTTTTAAATCAATTTGATTTTTTTTTCTGAATTTTATAGGTATCTTTACTTTGCATCTTTTTTTGAGTATCACTACAATGAATTTATAATCAAATCACATATAGATTTGTAAACAATTTGATGTTGCATCTTTTGATCAACAAATATCTCGTTCAACTGCATAAAAAATGGAGAAAACTTGAATATTCTAATTTTATAATTGTTTATCGACTACCTGTTAGCTCACAGTAGTGAAAAAAGTTACAAAAGAAAAACTTAATTCTTTTTTCTCTCCACTTCTTTATTCTATTGCTTCAGTTAGATTTTTGCAGTGGGAAAAAATTTCTGAATAATAAAAATTCTCATTATATATGTTACGATCTTACATCGCTCATTATTTCATATTTCTCGTGAGCGATTCTTATTTTCTTCGTGTCATCTGTACGAATAGCAGTTAAATTATTCACTTATATTTATTTTCTAAATTAACATTAAAAGGTTACACCCAGTCACAGATAACATACAGACGAACATCTATACTCAACATAAACGACCAACCATCAAGTTCAAATGAATAGAATATTAACGTGCGCAAACACACTCGTAATTATACTGATAGCGAACATGTGTATAGAGAGATCTTTTCTTCAGAATGATATCTGTATTGAGTAGGGTTCGGAGAAGAACGAGTGTTACTGGTACCATTCCTACAATCATTGAACAAATTAGACATACTGTCACATATATGAACTCATTATTTATGGTACTTTCCAGATATAATTTCTTTTTATAATGTTGCCTTTACAAAACGACGAATTCACAAGTGGGTGCAGTTAAGCTATATCTTTTAGTTGTTATTATTTTTGTTAAATGAAACGATTAAGTAACTCGAAAAACGTATTTTGCGTTCGCTAATACAATGTTGATAATCACAACTCTTGAGTCGTTGGCAAGAAAAAAAAATGTTTTTAACGCACGTATTTTTTTTCTTTTTCCTTAGAACCAAAATGTCAACAACGTTATTCATCCTGCTTCTCCTCCACCACTTATTGTTTCACTTCTTCTTTGTTTGCAAAAACAACAACAGCAAACTGATCATCAATATTTACGGTCCTTCTCTTGAAGGAGAGGCCTATTTTAGGTCATAATCTTCATAGTAGTGCTAGCCATTGTCAAGTTGATCATGTTATTAATGGCCGTCTTGGTCGTGGTAGCATTCAGAGTAATGAAGTGTAAGAATAATAAAGGACGCCAATGATAAAAAGGGTGTTAGTCTGCGCGTGAGCTTGGGTATCGGGTGCATATTTGGGTGAGGTGTCGTTGTGTAGCTGATGATGTGATTTTATGAAAGTCTCTGTTTAATTCACGGTCCAGTCACGCCCCCATTCGAAACTAGTGGATCCCATAAAGAATCTACAATAATAAACAAACCTTTTTGATATTATCTCGAGATGTGCACCTCTAAAAAAGAGAAAAGAGTTTTATTGTCTTTTAAAGAGTAAACTACTCTAAACACATGTACATACACTCGCCCATACTAACAGCCTCAGCTTGAAGTCAAGCTTATTCATAATAGCGAGTTATTTTCGTAATTTGTTTTATTTAACAAGTATTTAATGATTTGAATAAAACAATGAAATAGTATTTTGCTGTCCCTTGAAACGTGTTTATTTATATATATGTTAAAGACTATCGATTAACATTTAGTCTTCGTCAGCATAATACGATCACTGACTTATTTTCTTTCCGATGATTGTATAGAACAAATTTGTTTTACTGTTGTTTCCACAATAGAGAAGAATTTTTTAAGATTAATGAAATTTTATGATATTCTACACGCACTACTTTTTTACGTATAATTGGTTTACTGATATTGCGAAATATTTTCAAAAATTCTCGCTGAATTAGAACCAGATTTTGTGAATTTGTTGAAAAATCAAGCATATGTAAATGAAGAAAGTTATTAAATTACACCGTTATCAGAATTTTTCATGATTAGTAAAAGAGAAAAACTTTCTAATCAATTAGTCTTTACTGGAGAGAAAGTCGATTGGTTTTTGGATTGAAATATTTAAGTAAAGTTAGCACTGTATTCTAGGGCCATCGGTGTGGATCGATGCTCTCTTCATCTAAACACCAGATCCACATGCTCCTTCTTTATTCGCTGTGACAGACTTTCACTGAAAACTATTAAAAAGTCTATTCAAATCAGATATTTTCACATTCACACATTTACTACTCTTGTCTTACATGTGTTTTTGTTCTTGCTGTTAGATATGTAATTACGTTTGTATTGGAAATATAGGTACACTAATTGAAATACGGTTGATACGTAATGAAATATATTATCCGTATCACTTTAGTTGAAATATTTTACTAAGATCCAACAAACTTTGTTATCCTTGAAAATTTTCATTTTATCTTTTCAATACATCAGATGATTAGTAATGATGTGTTATATACGTCCATTTTTATCATTAAATTTTAAAAAAGCAATTACTTCTAGTGTTTATACTTGTTCCTTCTAATCTATTTATTCTACGTTTTTTTTTATTTTGTTTGTATATTCGATTAATACGTTTTTGATTTCGGTTATACTGAAATTGACAGCAGATTTAATTCAAAAAATCATCTAGATAAAAGCGCTTGATGCAAATAGTTATAGATCATCCCTTCAATATACGGCTGAATGAATATCATTCCTTTACATAATATTTTTTCAGTATAGAATCTTAGTTAGATCTATGATAAAGATGTAGTACAATGTGTTCCAAAAGTTGTGTAGTATATATTGAGTATTCTATTCTATTTTATCAATTAAGTTTTTCTTTAAAGGATATGCCCATATACTGAGCTTTTACTTATTAGAACAGCCTTCAAAAACATTCTTCAATGCTATCGCTTCAAACTGAAATATAAATATTTAGCTTTTTTTCTATATGTAGACAAACATTATATAACGATTCATTTTTAAATCGCTTCAATTTCGAAACAGCACACGAATCATTTTGAATTCAAGTACAGCAGCTGCGTTCATTAACCGATTTAGAGAGTGACCGTATGAATAACATGTAAGAAAATGAAGCAATTTAAAAATAATCCTTGCATGATGCCTTTCTACATATCAAGACAGGACTACATTTTTATATTTTAGTTAGAGGTAATAGCTTTCGAGGTTTGCTCGTATATATAAAAACTCGATGTACAGGTCTATCATTTGAAAAAGCTCTAGTAGATAAAATTGAATAGAATAGTAAATATATATTCGAAAGAATTTTCAGGACACACTGTACTTATCGAGTTGGGTATAAGTCAAGAGTCTGTACTATAATTATCACATCGAATATTCGAGTCAAAATCTTTCTTTTTTCCATTATGATGTAGAGAATAAGTTTTGTAATAACAAAGGAATATTTATTGTAATTTGATTACTATATCTTGAAAATGTACAAAAACATCAGTTAATAAGTTAAATAATATAGACATGATGGATGCTTTCGATAATGAATGGAATAAAATTAGTTTTAGAAAAGTTTTTAAAAAATCGTGGAGTTATATGAACCACATATCATCAGTGATTTTTTCATTCAGTACCATTACTTTTGTCTTAATATCATCAAGTGAATAACTTTCAGGTTCTTCATTATTTTCATCAAGACTAAAAATATAAGTAACATCATTGATCATGATGACAAATATTTATGATTTAATACCTTTCTCTATCCTGATCTTCGCCAAATTTAAGTGCTCGTGATGCATAAGCTGCTAAATGAGCATAATGAACAGGAGCTGGTATTGAAACTGATTTAGTACAACGCATATCCGTATGACAAAGCTAAAACAAATTTCATCTTTATCTTTTAATTTTTTTTTCAAACAAAATAAACTTGCCCAATAGGTAAGTTGTTGAATATCATCACTACTAAATCCAATATCATCATGAAGAACATGATACAAAGCTGGTCGTGATGTACCCATTCTATCATAATTAATAATCGAGTTTCTATATAAAAAAAAACAAAGTTACAAACACTTACATTGCAGCTTGCGAGCATAAGTAAAAATCAAACTGAGATGGATGAATTATATTCTGATCGATAACAGTACCTGCTTGAACATTGATTGTTTGATTACCATCATATAGAAAGAAACGCGTATTATGACGTTTTTTCACAACAATAAAGGCTAATTGCGGTAAAGGTTCTTTACCATAAACAACTAATATAGAGAAAAATAAAATTATTTTCATTATTATGTTTGAATACTTACTGCGACATGCATTTTTTATTTTATTAACTTCATTATCGAGTACTTTCTGATACTGTCCTTCGTCTACGCCATCTCGATAGAAGACAATTTTATTTGGAAGACGATCACCACATGAATTAGCAAATACTCGAAGTAAATCAATAACCATTGTGTCTAATTCTTTTATAATTTCTAGTGAACAACGACCCTTTTTAGGATATTCTACAATGAAGAATGGATGATGATGGAAGTAAACTAATACAGAACATACGTTCACAAAGTCGAGCAGCATATAGACTGTTTGTCAAATCTCGTGAACCAACGACAGCTGCTATTGACGGATAATCAATTGAGCAAGTTGAATGAGTTACCTAAATGAAAACGATTAAAAACTCATCAATTATCTCCAATTATTTTTACATATCTATATTACTTACATCAGCTCCAAAGAACATAAAAAGATCTTCTCTGGAAGAACGACTAAGAGCTGATTTAATATTGATGACGCCATTAATACCACCTAATTTTCCATTAATTTTTTGACTTATATTTTCAACATCTAAAATATTTGATACTCAATTTCTTAAATACATAAGGAAATATATATAATGATTCTTTTACTATGAAACTCAAATCTAATCTTTTCTAAATCTGCTACTACTCTCAAATGTCGATGTTTTTATGTATACGCTTACACATTTCAAGTTTGTTCATGTTTCGTTCCAAAGCTTGGAAATTAACACATTGAGTCATCAAGCCAATCTTTGTATTGGCATACTTTTTAACAAGATTATAGACAACGTCTGAATTACGACTATTAATAATAACAATAGCCAATTGCCAACGTTGTCTACTAGCATCACGTAAAGTACTATTAATGTCATTTTCATATGAACTCTTTATAGTCAATGATAATTCGGTATTAATTACAAAACCACTACGTCTAAGTAGCTAGAAGAAAAAATTTAAACGAATAGTAAAAGAATCAGTTGACAAGTTTACATTGGGTAGTCGATTTTGAAATTTGCTAACTATATCCTCAGTATATCCATTAGATGTATCACCAAAATAAATCATTCCCCATGAATTGATTTGGGATGTTGTATAAAACCAATTTTGAATTCGCCATTTGCCACAATTAACAGATTCGATGATTTCACCTTGACCACGACGACGATATCTGATTTCTGGAGGCGAGAGTACACGTCCTAAATGTAAACCAATAAAGTTGTGGAAAAATAAAATAAAACAAAACAAAAGATAAATTACCTTTGATTTCAAGCATTTCTTTATCGTCAACACGAATATTCAGTTCTTTGAGATAAGGATCTCTATCGAACTGATTGTTACGTACAATTTTCATGATTTCAGAGTAACGTTGTTCTGGTTTGATGATCGTATTTCTAGAAACAAGACCTCGTTGTTGTTTGTCCAATGGTTTTAATGCACGTTGCCATTCGACTATCTGAAATATAAGATAAAATTCTCGTAATCATTATTGATTTGATGCCATAAACTTACTCTGACAACTTCCATAGGTAACCAATTTGGTTTCTTTTCAGCTCCTTTCATGGCGTTGATGCAAGGTAAGTGCGGATACATAAGTTTTCTGTATTTATCAGCAAAATAATCTGCAACACTAATCTCTTTTATGGCAACAGCACTTGCTACTTGTTCATCATCTCTACCGCAACGAAACATAAGTTGATTAGCAGGACGACCAAAACCACGTATTCGATAGAAAATTCTTCGACCAGTATGCATTGTTTCAACTAGTAAAAATAAAATTATTAAAGAAATAAGATTAAGTCAACTTACTGGATAAATTGCGAATGATTTGTTCAAATACTTTTAAATCTCTTTCATGCAAACCTTTGGTAACATCTTTTCGTAAGTATTTGGAAGCAAAATCAATAAAACTCAATGGCATAAAAAAGCATGTAAAGGTTAAATTAATATTGAGTGTTGGTCCACCTTGTGTGAGAAATAAAGCTTGATAAAAACCTCTTGCCATACCACGACCATCACCTATAAAGAATCAGTGAATATAAATAAGAATGATTGCAATAAACAAAACTAACCAAGATCCTCAAGCTGTCGACGTCGATCATAAAACTGATTTCGAATAGCGATTAGCTCATTTCGAGCACGCTGTTTGAAAAGTGTTTCAATAATTCGAACTGTTTCACGTGGTCGAATATTTACTTTCTTTTCAATAAAATTAAAAATATTTTGAATTCTATCTTGCCGAACAAGAACTAATTTTTTCAATTGAAAGACTTTCCTTTCATTGTCTTTTTCCAATACGATCTGAATAGGCAATGTCAAATCAGGCAACATTTCTCGAGAATATAACGTTTTTCCTTCGTCGTACCTAAAAATGGAACAGTATTAAACAGTTTAGATTTTTTCAAATGATGAATAAGCTTACCAGACTATAGGAAAATTTTTCCTTTGTTTAACAAATAATTGTATCACTTCCCAACGGTCGTCTTTTCGTGTCAGACGTGCTTTACCATCGCGACCGATCATCACAATGTCAATATCATATTGATAAACGACAGCGTCATTGATGTTAACACGGAAATGATTAGTATAGAGAGATATTTTTTGACCGTTTGAACCACCTTCATCAGGACGAGGAACTGGTTTTAATACGGCTGACTCAGGCACTGCTGAGCATAATGTTCGATTACGTATCACTTGACGAACACTTTGGGAACGAGAATCTTTTGCGGACGCTGATGCTGTTTCAATAGACAAATTTCTCATTGAGTCATTCAATGTCGGAAATGCACTGCAAGAGCGTTTTATTTCAAATGGTGAAGCTCGTGCTGATTTTGGCACCACAGATGGTTCAATTGGAGATGATACTGGATCATTCGATGTTGATCTTTGTGGTGTATCAGCAGCTACCACAATAGTATCGTTATCATGGTTGGTTGTTGCCGGCTTTGATTCGGCTTGAGCTATAAAAAAAAAAGAAAATAATAAAGAAACTGATGGTTGATGATTTCAAACTATACAACGAACCCTTTCGATATTTTCTTTGTGACATTTATGAGTCTTTTGCGGATCAATTTCTACAAAGAATTAACATCATTAAATATTAATATTAAACCAAAAAGAACAAATAAAAGATCTCAGAAAATAAAATCTCGATTACCTTCTTATAGAAAGATAATAATTTTAATTTTTGTTTTAGACAATACGCGAATATTGCTAATCTATAATCAATAAGAGCAATTATTGACAAAAGTATTTGAAATCATATAATTATCAAATTTTTCTGCTATAAGCAATATTCGATATAGATGAAAAGCTCTTACTTTTTAGTGTTCACACAATATAAAAAATAAGAATGTAATTGATGTATAAGTCTTAGTCACTCTATATATAAGACAACTACTGGGTATTCCAGTGGGAAAAAACCCATTGTACTTGTAACAGAATAAAATGACTCATCGTACAACAAACCATATAGAACATCAAATTATTGCAACGACGAAAAAGAAAAAGAAATGTAAAAGAAAAAAACAACAAACAAAAAGAACACTGCTACAAATGATCTGAAATTTCATGCTCATTTTTTTGAATAAACATTACAAACGATGGTTTTATTTCTGAAAAACCTTCATCTAATACTTATTGTTTTTTACTTTTTCTTTATTTTTTCTTACATTTACTTGTCGTAAAATAAAATGTATAGTATTGAAAAGTGAACTTTCTACCAAAATATAATCATTGATCGTAATCGTTACATTCGAAATATCAAGAATATTTCAAAGATTTATTCTATAATTTTTAGATGCAGTTTTTTCTTTGAACATGCTTGATATCAAAATATCTTTATAATAAATTCACTCAATAATCAATAGTAAACACATATTTGAATCATAGATGATAGTCAAGTATCTTTTATCTTATAAACCAGCAGTTTTATTATGATGTCAGATGTATATTCTTTTATAGAAAAGAACTTTTTATTTTATTTTGTTTTTTATTTTGGATGACTCAGAGATCTTCGCTTGTTCTGAATAAGATCAAAAGAAAAAAAATATATAACGAAGCATTTTATGTTCTTCTCTTTGCTTGTTACTCTCAGCCATGTAAGAAGAAAAATAGTCAAAGATTAAAGATGCTTCTTTTCTTCATCATCATATTGTCACTAGTTTTTGTTGATACATCATTTAGAATAACATATGTGTTGTTGAAAATACAAATGCTTCGTCATCGTTCACGTGAAAATGGGTAGCTCAAAAACTTCTCATGCTTAGTCATTGATTTCGTATTATGATCCACATATTGACAAAGCTTTCGGCTTTTTATATATCAACAATGAAGACCGTGTTCGAACAACAACAGGTTTTGGTATATATCTTCATCGTGAATATGAAATATTTTTATATATTGTTGACGAAGAATAATAGCGTAAAGATTCAATAGAAAATACACAAATAATTCATCGTGTTGAAGTTCAATTCACGGAAACAGAATCTGTTATTTAACATTTGGAATATATTGTTAATAAATCATGTTGAGTTCATTTTATTCAAATAGGAGTTTAAAACAAATCACTTGAATTTTAAGTCATTCTATACAATAAAGAAACGATCGCATGAAAATGTGAAATTAAATGATTTTTGTTTGTTAATCAATTATATTCAAAATTTGCACTATAAAAACAATTTCTATTCATTTAGCATTATCGATGTTTACTACTATTTTACCATCGAATAACTTTATCAAACATGTTTTTAAAAGAACAAAAAGATATATATATCCATTTAACTAGGTAAAGTATATATAAAGCAAGAAGATGGTACAAAAACATGTGAATCGAACAAAATATTTTATTACAAGAAGGTGATAGAGCATTCATTAATTGTAAAAAGTCAAATATTAAACTTTCTGTTGAAAGTATTGAATTGATCAATGCCAATTTTTTATTGTTTAGTCTTCAATAAAGATTTCGTATTAAAACAAAATTTCATCTTACGCATATCCAATAGTTAGACTTTTTTCTTTCATATAATATGCTTATCTTATTAATTGAATTTCTTTTTCTGCGACAAATTTTTCTCAAACAAAATATGTATTGGTGGCGACACTTTTTTTTCCATAAATAGACTACTAATATTTAAATATTGTGTTGCAAATAAAAAAAAGTAGTTAGCGTAATTCCTGCAAGACTAAAATATGAGACACAATGGAGCTACTGGTATTATAAAAGAGAGGATTAATTAATATGAGTTTCTACTCACTGTCAATACATGCCAATGATGAAAAGTATTAATCGCAATGTATTGTAGTAAGCGTAAACGAAAAGTAAAGGACAACTATCATGCTAATCTCTCAGTAAACTTTGATCTTGTGGTTGTCTCTCTTGATCTGTAATGGCGAAGAGACGTTGCTAAGGTGTCTGTTATGTCTATAGAAAGTGATGAGTTCAAGTTTCTATCCTTATACTTCAGCACTTCTTTTATATAGTTTATTACACAACAACAAAAATTGACCAAATTAAGTCATGCTTTAAGCATCTTAATGAATTTTTTTGTATAGTAGTGATAGTTTATGCAATAAGTAACTTGTTAGAAATTTTTAAAGATTAAATATTCATAATTATACGAATATTTTCAACTTAATTACTTGTGTATAATGCTCTCATATGATGTGAGGAATTCAGATTTCAGAAATGTTTGTATAATCGTAGTCTAGAAAGATAATCTTGATTAATTCATCAAAAAACTGTAGCTATCGTAAGTGGACATACATAGCTTTAATACTTATCGTTCTGCATGTTGTTCAGTTTTAACATTGTATTGTGATGTCAATTGTTTCATAAAACTGACGAGAAAAATCACAGACTTTCAATATTTTGACATAGGCAAATGAAATGACTCATTAATAAATGAATCAATTGAACAGATATTTAAATCTTTAAATATGCATTGGATATTGTTTTTGTTGATAAATGATTAATATGAGAGATTTATTCAAATGAAAGAAATTCGAAGCCAGTTGATGATGAGAACTACACAAATACGTACAAATACAAAAATACTTTGAGATGGCTATTACTTCTATAAACTCAGAACTCACGAATTCTTTTAATTGAACGCATCCAATGAACCACAGCCGATTCGTTCCAATAACGTGTTATATGCCATGCAATCTAATCATAATATATATCCACGCATTTTCTACTGATACATATATAATAAATCACAGGAATACGCGTCACTAGACTGATATTCGTGTCTAGTGATATCAAATATTGTCGTGCAATGTGATGCATTCGCATGTAAGCTGATCATTATATGTACTGCTACGCCCACACTCTGATGCCATGCGTCCATTATATTTCAATAAACTAAAACTAATTTCCTAGCTGTTGATATACATACGATCAATTATGGCCATAATGAATAGGATGCTTTTAATCAAATAAAGTACCGTATGTTTGTGTTTCCATCATTATTCTGATGATCTATACAGTGAGGATATTATATGTATGATTAATGGAAATGCATAAGTCAACAATGATAGTGCAACATGAATCTATAGTCCAAGTTTGACAGTGAAGACGGAAAACACTCGGATAAAGAGTTTAAGTGACAGTAGTGAGAGAACTTCTTGTAAAAAAAATTCTGTATGCGCCTCATTTTTCGGGTCTTTTACTTTTCAATGAAGAATCACATCTACTGGAGAAATATTCCGCCATTTATTTCCATATATTCTATGCAAAAGAAATTGTATGGAATAAAAGCATTCGATCGCTTGTTAAATTAACTTCTTGAAATTCAACGCAAAAAATTGAGCGAATTTACGTCTAACCAGCCGAAATCGTTCAAGATTGATGCAATTCCATTCACAGTAATTAACCTTAGCGAAAACGATTAAGGTCTTTTCGACCAGCATAATATTCAGTCGTTCCTCTTCTAAAAATCTAATCGATTTATAGACATCACTGTAAAAACGTGAGTGTGAGCTTTTTCCGAAATGCCTCCCCTTCTTTTCGCATCACTTGATATGCACGTTCGATTTGAAGAAAATGAGGTGCGATCCTACATCTAATGTCAATATTATATCATAAAAATGGACAAAATTTATATATCGTAGATAAGGTTAATGACGCCATTTATGCACATTCCTTCTCTTATTTGAGCGTTTTATTTTATAATAAATTTTTGAGACTCATTTTCATTTGACATTTTAAATCATAACATTGATACTAACATGGTTGATAATAATATGATATCCTTTAACAAAAAATATCTCTAGAAGCAGTTCTGAAACCTGAATTTGCATTGATTTGATACAGAATGCTCTACTCTACAAAAATGTTAACTGTACTCCTTAAACAAAACTTTCTCATTTTGCATAAAACTTACACAGTTGAGGTCTTTTCAACTTCGAGTTATCTAACAGCATATACTTACACATGTGTATTTCTTGAGGCATTTTTCAGAATGGGGGAAGAAATATATATATGGAAAATCTATGTAATTAAGAAATGTGAGAACATAGAAAGTTTAATTTTCTCTCAGATTTGTTTGCTGACTGGGTTTTTCAATACGGATAATCGAGCAGTTTTCATTGTGAAAAGTATATGTTACGCTCATTCATTCAGAAACAGTTTCTACTGTCGATACTATGCAAGTAAATCCTTGAAACATATTATGTAAATGGAAAGAATAATCATCTGTAGCGCATGTACAAGGATTCAGAGTTGTTTAAATATTATACCTAGTTCTATGAAATCATAGCAAGAAAAATTTTGAGATTTCAATGAGAATTTGAGTAAAAAATTCTCTCTATGGATGTAATATCGTATATGTATAGGAGCAAATTTCATGAGCACTAGTGTACATAAAGCAATAAATGTTCANTTTTTATAATCCGCTATGAGATATTCATTTCTTCAACGAACTTTTCTCAAATCATGAGAACTCTTTTCTTTCTATTATTTTTCTTTCAGTGATTATTTATCGAAGAGATTTTCAAAAAAAAATATCAGATGCCGACCGATTCGTTTCGTGTATATATTCAATAAAGGGATATTTCTATCGTCAACGCATTATCTAAAATTCAAGAAGACTTTTCTTATTTTGTTATTTTCATTTCTTCTTGTGTATATATTTGTCTGACGGATATTTCTTTCTTCAGCGGACTTTTCTACAATCAATAGAATCTCTTAATTTTCATGTTTCTTCGTGTATGAAAGAGATTTTAACAAATATATGCGATGATCTCTTTAATTCTTATGTAATTCAGCTGATAAATACCACCTTCTTCAGTAGATTTTCCTACATCAAAATGATTTCTCTTATCGTCTGGTTTTCATTCATTCGATTGTCTTCAAAAGATATTTTAGCGAATATATATCATGATGACCTATTATTTTCGGATATATCAGCTATCGATCACTTGTTTGTTCAAGGAATTTTTCTAAAAGGTAAAAGAATTTTTAAATTCTAATATAATGATTTATTTAGTAATGGGTGAAAACGCTTTGAACTGACATCTATATATATAATGTTCAGTGTGTGTGTGTGTGTCTGTGTGTTTCTCTGCCAGGTTAAAGGGGAAACGTGAAAAGTTAAAGGCTAAAGGTTAAGGTTTCTAGCATTTTCATCTTCAGGAATGCCTCCTCATAAACTTAAATTAAAGAACGGTGCAATTGTCATGCTTCTTCGCAACCTCTATGTTCATCAACGTCTATGCAATGGAATTCGGCTGATTGTGCGACGTCTACTAAATCACACGATTGATTGTGAAGTCGCAACTGGATCTAACAAACGAAGCCGAGTTCTAATACCAAGAATTACTTTGACACCGTCTGATCCATTTTTGCCCTTTCCACTACGTAGACATCAATTTCCTATTCGACTCTCATTTGCTATGACAATTAACAAATCACAAGGACAGACCTTTGATCGATTAGGATTACTTCTACCACAACCAGTTTTCAGTCATGAACAACTCTACGTTGCTTTTTCAAGAGTTCGCTCTCTAACATCTATCACGGTACAAATCATCAAAGAAGAAAAAAACAGTGAAAGATATAAAACTAAAAACATTGTTTTCAAAGAAATTTTGTAAATTTGTTGTTTTAGGATAAAATGAAGATAATGTAAATAAATTCTTCTGATACAACGGAGATAAATATTGTAACACTATACCCGATAATCCCCTGGTCCTTACGAAAAACTTGCTTTCGATGATAAAAAACTACCGTGCAGTATGTACGGGTTCGCGCTAGTGTTATGATATTAGTTGAAATATGATCAAATAGAATAGAAAGATAGATTCTTTTTTTTTCTATGTGACTGTGTAGAAAGAAAATTTCTTTAATCGTACGATACGGAAATAAAGTGTCACTGCCACTACTTTTGGTGTGACCCTGAGTACATCTTCTGAAACCAAGATATCGATATTCCATAGAAAACAAGAGCGAACTCTACATCTTTCTAAACTTTATGCGATTCTAACTTGAAAGTGAAAATTGTTAAATATGAGTATTTATCAACTGAAATTTTAAAATTAAGTTAATTCAGTTTGTGTAATTTTGGAAAAACAAATATTTTAATTTCTTAACTTTAATGCTGACTGGAGCTTAAGGTTTTAATAATATTTTATTATTTTCTTTGACTTATGATCGCAAATGAGAAGTAATCTCGTCAATTGGTTCTCAGTTCAGTGAATGAATCATGATCGCAGTTGATTCATCTAGTGATAAGCCATCATCCGATTTGTGACAGTTTTTGGCTAGATAACCATATCTTTGGATAGACGGTAGAAAGAGAGACCAGTAGTTGAATAGACTTTTTTTAGAGAAATAAATGGTGTGTTCTCACATCCACTCATAGGCATTAAGAATTGGTGTGGCCCTTTAGCAATATCAATTAATCGTAAAAGCGCAATTTAAAGTGTTCTTCTATTTCGTTGATGGTCATCTTGAAAGTATGAATAATTTCAATATTTAATGAACAAATACATATAACTGAAAAAATAAAAGAATGTCTTATTAGCCATTTTTCTGTGAATTCCATTATATTGGTCGAAAGCAAAAGCAGCAAACGAAAGAATAGCCAAAAAAAGGAGAAAGAAAATAGCAGTGAAAACAAAAAAGGGAATATTTTTGGCAAAGAAAAAAATATTGAATCAAAAAAATGGCGAAAAATTGATAGCAAGAACACAGAATATCGACCATATGAGAATGCTAAAAATAGTTTTTTTAATATTCTCAACTAGCAATAGGAAGATATTTAATTATAAAAACATTGATAGAGTCTTAATCTGATGAGAGTGTGAGTGTGATTTGAGAAAAGATTTAGATCCATATCCATATCCACACTCACATCATCTTCCTCCTATGATTGGAGAGATATTCAATAATTGCTTCTTAATTAATCAATTCATTCATTTATTTGAATTAAGTAACATCTGAAAGAGCCAAAGTTTTTACATTTATCTATGCTACAAGAACTCATTCAGAAAAAACATCCTTTCATAAAGTCAAAGTCAAATCAAAGAGGGATATGTTCTATTTTGCCTGCTCTAGCTCATATATTCAACCATCTTCTGTCATGCAATCATGTGCCCTTTCTCACATATCTTTTTGTTAAAGTATAGGGTAGGGTGTGGATGTAAGTATGGCTGTTGATCAGGATAAGAAACACACTGACATTCACCACCCTCACCCTTTGCGCTTTTGCATACTGTATAAGACTTGAAAAATCGCTATTATTTTTTGTGTAACGAAAGTTTGTGGACATCATCGCCTTCAAAATGGTTTTGTTTTCAATAAAAATTTTGTTTCTTTATTTTGAGAAAAAAACTGAAAAAGAGCACATTTTAATTCGTCAGAACGTATCTTTTGTCGATTACGTCTGATGCAGCTCTTTTTTTCTCAATAAATTTCATTTGTTAGACAAAAAAACATGCAGAGAAATAGAATTATCTGCTATTTTTTACCTGAAGGTGACACATCATTGTACCGAGTCAATGTAAGTAGTTGAGCGAAAGCAATGAGAACTAAAACGTATTTCAACTTTTGAACAAATATGTCTATCGACACATCCACTTCTATAGTCAAATTCTTTCTTTTCGGACATCGAAGCTGGTTAGTGAGAATAATGGAGAAGAGAGTTATTAGATCTTGAAAACAAGTCAGGAAAGCTTTTAAAATTGAAATTTTTTTCTGATCTTCTGAATTCTTTAGACGGCGGTTTTATTACTCGAATCATTTACAATTGTAACTTGTTACTATAATAGGTCAGTGCTGTGGCATTTTGTTGCTCTCTTTATCATGAATGGGTTTTGCACTCTGTAGTCATTGACGAGCACTTCAAATTTACCAGTACACTTTTGCGTTGCTATACATAATATAATAATAAATGCTAAATTATTCTTGTTAACAGTTTCATCAACATATATTATCTCAAAAATATTTATTGAAGCAATTCAAATAGTGGGAAAACATAAACAATTACATGAAATTTATGTTCTATAACTTCGATGATTTTTCGTAAGATTTTTTCATATACAAATATTGTATATATGTGCTTTATTTGTGCGTATTTATTGTAACCAGTTTTCAGTTTAGTAACAGAATTCGACAGTTAGCGTCTTTTGATAACTTGTTTTTGTGATATTAATTAACAATGAAAGTCATGCGCTGCACGTTAAGGAAAACAGAGCAATATATTCCTATTTCAAGATACTTACCGTCTTTAGGTGTGTGGGTGTGAGTGTGGCTGGTGGGTATGGGTATCGCCATGGACGTATTCTTCTTTTCACGCCCACACCCACACCGCGGCTTTCAAATATGTGAACAACGAGATTTTCATGCGGTCATGATTCGGAAGCCGAAAAGTTCTTATTCTTCTTCCTTTCCTATCATGTTGTTGATAGAAATGATGTATCATGTTGGAAAAGCATAAGCATATTTCGTTTTTTTTATAGTTTTTGTAAAAAAGACTGCAGCAAATAAAACAATGGGGCGTATTGTTATGTCCAGATCCCTTTAGATTCTTAAGTCTAGATAACTCTTTAGCACTTTCTGCTGAGGATGTCCCGACCTATTTTCCTCTAGTGGAGTGATTTCACAAGTTTAGTGATTTGAGAGATCTAACCTACAGAATACGCTTCATTTTTCGAAAAAAAGATATTTTTGCTCTGTTTTTCTTAGTTCCTTGACAAGTACCACTTTAGTCATTTTTCATTCTTAAATGTACTGAACACTTACAATATTAATCATTTTTCTTATGATGAATAAATACAGGCTGCTCGTGGATATTTTCTTATTTCCTTTCTTCAAACTGAGCATATTTATTTTCTTATTGTCATAAAGATTGTCACGTGGAAGCATATCTTTTTTATTTTATTTATTTTTTATATTCCATATTTTCCTTTCAACGTTTCTCATTCTATGTTTTTCTTTTTGATATTTTTCCTTTCGACATTTTTCTTTTCTGTCTTTTCCCATTCATTCATTCATTGAAGTGAGAAAACTTTCATTTATTCCTCTCATTTTTTTCCGGAAAAGAGTTATTAAAAAAGAGATTCCCTACATGATTGCAGTTATTTGAGAAAAAGAAAAACTAAAAAAAATGTCAATTCCAATGGATCAGTCGAGTATTTACCTGATATACTTTACTCTTGGTGGGGCGTTTATCCTCTTCATCCTCTTGATCTCAGCTGTCGTCATTGTCGATATCACAATACCATGGCTACGACAACGGCTCAATAATGGAACTGGTGATAGCGATCGTTAAAGAACCAGTTAAAAATACTGTTCGTTCATCTTCTAACTATGAAACTGCGACTAAATGTAGAAATCCTAGTAATAAATAATTAAAAATACAAAAATTTGATGGTAAATGACAAAAAAGCAACAATATGCTACAACATTCTTGAAGTAAAAGTGTTTTTTGTTGTCAGATGATGTTTTCCTTCAGTTCAATCAAATTCTCTTTTATAAATATCGAATGTTAATTATTGATTTCAGAACACCTTTCGTATTAAATATTTGTATTTCTAATGTTGTATTGACTTGCTATGTACTTTTTTGCACGTACTGTTACCATCTTTTCATAAGATAATGTTTTCATTCAGATGGTTGGTTTCTTCTTTTTGGTATCATCAGAGGAATTTGTGAAACCTCTTTAATTACATTTTCCAGAATTTAATCAAGTGTTTTCTTCTTACTGTCGTCGAATCCATCCGACTGACGAGAGAAGACGACGAACTGATAAATCGCTATTAAAATTTTAGTGTTGCCAATTCATAGAGCTTGTTGAGTTATTAGCTGATACAATAATCATTTGGGTCAACAGCGTGTTTAAGAGTAAATCTATATGTATATATATAATGTTTGGTGTCTGTGCCGGGGTTAAAGATCAATGAGAGTGGGATTTGATCTGTGGCTTTTTACTTTAGCATAGACACACAGACACTCACCGTGCAATATTACTCTGCACGGATCTATTGCAAGTTAATGATAATGATTTAACTCATAAAAATGATGAAAACATAAAACTCTTTTACAATTAACAAACGCACATTTTATTAATGAGCTTTCTTCACACAATGAACAAGACAAGTTAATATTATGAAATCAAATGGTCGACAGTTTGGAATGTTTCATAGTTCTCTGAAAAATAGCCAGTTTTAATCTAGGCATATTTTCATATAGGTGTGAACACATTTGATGTTAATTGAGGGTGTGGGTGTGTGGGTACCCAGTGAAAAATATTTGCTTCAAAGAACGGGAAAGAACGTGTTCTGTAAAATTAAAAACCCTTTTTTTAAGAAAAGAAAACGTTCCAACAAAATGGAAAGCGTTCCAAAATGGAACCATTAAGAACATATTCCATGTTTTTTTGAATGCGTTCTTAACTGTTCCAGCTTTTTTGGAACGTTTTCTTTTCTCAAAAAAAGCTAACTTTTTTGGAACGCATTCTTGGTCGTTATTGCCTGAATTTAGATTCACTATAAGAGTTCTCGAAGAGAAGTTCAGACATAATTTTTTGAAAGATCGGTTCTGGTGCAACTCGACAAGCTCTATCCAATGGCGTGCTTTAATTTTTCGTAGCTCAAAATGTTATTAAAAAAATTTTTTTGAATCAGGACTGCCAGTTGTAAAGCATGACTAATTGAAGGTTCCACCATTTTTGGCACCAGTTTCAGGATGTCGTACTTCAGAGCTGTCATTTTTGAATCAAAAGTGACGTTGAATTCAGATGAAAGCGTTCATCAGTCAAAAGAATCCATTCTCAGGTTTTTCTCAAGAGAATGTTAAAAAAGCGGTCTCATTTCGATGGAATCCTATCTTGACTGTTTAGAAATAGAATGGGCAGAAACACGTTCTATTGGCTCATGGAACACTTCAGAACGCTTTCTATCCAGATAGAGAACGATTTTTGAACTGAGAAGAAAGCATTCCGTACTAGTGTGGAACAGTAAAGAATGAGTTCCTTTAGACTCAGAACTTTTCCTGTTGTTTCTGAAAACGTTCGCTAAGCTGTAGAACACATTCTTCATGTAATAGACACGTCTCTACATTTTTGTGAATGCGTTCTCTTCCGTTATTTTTAGAAATATTTTTCACTGTGAAGTTCAAGCTCAGATGAACCTGAAGAAAGATATATGATAGACGAAGATGAATTAGAACGGCTAAATATCCGTGTATTACACATGGAAGTTTTCAATCACATACAGAATGCTAACGCTAATGTCAATGATCCAGAAATACGACTTCAACACTATTGTTACGTACTATCAGTTGGCAAAATTCCAATTTATAAAAAGAAGCCATGATCAACAGATTTTCAATCGGAAGATGTTGAAAAATATGTTCAATCAGCCATTCTTTATCAAAATACAACTGCACTTCTTAAGAAACGTGAAGAATATGCTGTTGTTGAAGACGACTTTGGACCAACACGTACTCAAATGTTGATTCGTGGAAAGAAGCCTTCGTTTTCAAATCTAGTAGCAGCGTGCTGAAAGTTCGATCAAGAGGATTATATCAATATACATCTTATGACAACTGAAACGCCTTATTGATATTTTCTGTAAAAGTATATTACATTAACGAAGATGAAGCTAAAGCATATGCATTTGCTATTGCATTTTATACAGGTGCATATAGTGAAATGCTCAGTCTAAATGCAATCATTTTTGCTCGTCGTTGGCAACGAAACAAAGCAACAAATGCAGAAAATGTACAAATTGATGATAATGCTGCTATGATTATGTATTATGTTATAAAAGGTCTTTCACATATTAATTTCTATTGGGGTCGAGTTGTACGATATGTTAAGTTGAGTGAGAAAGATCTGAAGGATTATCAACCCTATGAAATTCTTACATGGCTTCAATTCAGTAGTTCCGATAAAGGTGATAATAAAAATGATAAACATCTTAAATATTTTAAAGAACGTAATACCAAATTTATCATTCATTCATTGACTGGTCGAAGCATACACGATTTTTCTAACTGTGCCAAGGAAGAAGATGAAGTTCTTTTCTACCTCATTCTACATTTCTTGTATGTCATACTGAGGTTAAAGATAGAAAGAACATTATTTATATGAGACAAGTAAAATGTCTATTGAATTTTAATATATTAAAAGGAATATTATAGATTGAACTTGGTCTTTGCAAATATGTTGCATTATGGGTTGATGATCATATATTTCATGAATGGTGGGAAAATAAAGGACATATGGAAAAAGCCAGTACTCTAGGTACTCAAATCAATATTCATTTCATTCCAAAGTCTACAACTCAAGGTGCAATGGCCTTTCTACGATACGAATTTGGAGCACGATTAAAAAATAGTGGTACATTTAGAATTGTCACTGATCTGAATCGAGATAATGAGAGTTCAGCAAGTGATGCTGGTGTTCGTCTACTTGTTCAAGTCCGAAAATTTGGTGTCCATCAGAAATGTCTTATATTTACTGGGAACGCATCGGAAGGACGCCGAAAATTAAACAAAATTTTTCAGGGAAATCAATTGGATGATATTAAAATAACCGAAGATTCGATAGATCTTGAGCAATTTGTTCTGTTCAAATGAATTTACGACATGAATTTTATTCTATCTTCCAAAAAATCATTTTATTCCAGTAATTTTTTATCATTGAAGTTTTGCCTTAAACTGACATTTTACTCAACATTTGTTTCCGAATTTATATTCCATATAGTTTATTTAATCAATGAAAACAATATCCTTGCACTTTGTTCTTCTATGACTTCGAATGGGTTTAAATTTTCGACCAGTTGCAGCTGGTGTTATTGGTACAACAAAGTTATTTTATGAGGGTGTGGGATGGTTGTGGATGAGTGCAGGTGGGTGTGAGATGCCGGTCTAGTTTTTCCTTGAATCTGTTACCACTCCCACACNATATTTTTTCTTTCGATATGTTTATCTTTCGATCATTTTTCTTTCGACGTTTTTTTTTTCGACCTTTTTTTTTCGACCTTTTTTATTTCGGCATTTTTTTTTTCGACGTTTTTTTTTCGACGTTTTTACTTTCGACATTTTTTTTTTCGACATTTTCTATGCCATTCAGTCGAAATATCTTTTCCCCCGATCATATGTAAGACGAAATCGTTTTAAAACTAATCATCTTCGAAAAACTGATTTTGACCTTTGATTTAGATAGAAAAACTTGAGATCTATAGTTCAAGATAAATGCAGCTTCTCACATCTCATTAAATTTTCATCGAAATGTTAAGCTATTATGATAAAAAGTGTGAAAACTTAGTAAAAAATCAGCTAAATTTCGTATCATTTGCGCATTTAAATACATGATTCCATTTCTTCGACCCGAGAATGTAATAAGAGAACCATTTGCATTGTTTCTTGAATTATAGATCTTAAGTACCTCTATCTAAATCAAAGGTCAAAATCAAAATTTTACTTAGATGGCAGGTCATTTTCATGCATTCTTTTGTATGTTTTTCGAAGATGATTAGTTTTAATAGAATTTCGTCTTATACATGATCGGAGAAAAAGATATTTCGACTTCTCTTCTTTCAATTCCTGAAAGCCGCAGGTCGCTAACGATTGCCGTTATCGAAACATTGCTCTTACACCCACCCCTATTTTATTCTGGAACGGACACTAGTATTTATTAATAACCTCTATATGAAACATAATTCAACGAAAGCATTATATTCGTTCTATTCAAAAAACAATTATTAACATTTTGACTTTTATTACTTGTGATGCAGTTGCAATCGTTACGATCGCCAGTGAGTCGGGATTTCTCGAGCTTTTTGTGTATTTTTTTTACACATCAAATGTACTTTTCTGATATTGAAGATCATTACTTTGAGAGAGCAGGCGCCAGTGTATTGTATTCAATAAAACCTCATTTTGTTTTTTACTTGAATTTATACTCTACTTTGATAGAACAATCGAGATTTCAACGAACGAAGGTATGATGCTGAATATTCAAATGTGCTGATATCTAATGATTCGACTTAATACTAATCAAAAAGTACAAGAAAAAAGCATAGACATACTTTATGCTGATCTTTGAAAAGATATTGGTTAATGAAAATCTGAGAGAAATCAATTAAACAGACAAATCTTAATTGAAATTGAATAAATCATTTAAAGTGAGAAACAAGAATGATATCGTAACCATGGATATTACTTTGACTAGATCAAGATAGATTTCTCTTGAAATACTACTCTTCTAGAGGATACCTAAAAGTCAAATTTGATTATCATAGTAAATGGTTATCATGAATCTCATCAAGGAATAGGATTTTAATAGATATGCGAAAATGAATGCGTTTCAAATAATGATTGACGTCCGTTCGCAATGTTTGTTTTTTCGACATTTATTGAAGATTAATGAATCAATTTCTTGCAGAGTCAGAAATATCACATATTTCTATTTATATAGAATTCTTTGAACTATATTCTTCAACTAAACATGAATCAGTGAAAAACTTTTTTTCTTAACGAAATAATTTTTAATTATTCTCATTTATTCAGTTTTTACATTAAATTCGGTAATTAAAATTATGTTAATTAAACAAAAAAAACAAGTGTAATAGACTTGTTTTCTTTATTTTTTTTGAATTTTGAATGTTTTATTATACAAGAAGGCAAATATATGCATGCATATATAAGAAATCCTCGTTTGTTTTTTATTTTCATCACTATGCATGAGAAGAAATGGTAGAAGACAAAATGTCTCACTTCCGAGCTGTTTTTTGTATGACTGATAAAAACATTTTTCTTTTGTCGCCGTTTTGACCACGAACGGCAAATTTCTCTGAATAGAACATAGTCAAAACAACGCATACACCATTTTTAAATTTCTTTTCACCTCTTTTCTACGATCAACATAAAGAGAACGCATGCCGATCTCTTTTTTTTTTTATTTAAATACAACAGAAAAAAAAGCACCTTATCTTGAAAAAAACGGTTACCTTCTTTATTGCGATAGAGACGGATGTAAGAAAGAAAATTTTTCGACGACGTCTGTCCTTGCTGAAAAACATTTTTACCTGAATCTCTTATCAACTTCGCTACTGTGTTTTGTCGATCATTGATAGTTCTCGTTTTCATTTTGCACAGGCTAATTTATCATAACAATGGGAAATGGTAGCTCGAAAAAGATTGATGCACTAGAACAGCAACAAAAAGCACTCATGAAACAGAATGCTGAACTGGCACAACGCATGGCTGAGCAACAAGAAGCACATAAACAGCAGCATGAAGCAACGATTGAACAAATGGCCCGATTGTTATTAGCACTTGCGGATTCGAAAAATAATGAAACAGTTATACGTAATGAAAAACGAGACATTGAAATTGAAGGTACGACATACGAAGTTGTTCAATTTGTTAATCGAGGTGGTTTTGGTGAAATTTATAAAGCAAAAGTAAAAAATAAAAATATGATGGTTGCTATTAAAGTTATGAAAAATACACCCGGTTTACAAGATGAAATTAAAAATGAAATTAATTTTTTACGTTTAACAAAACGAATTCCTATTGATAACCATCCTATTATCGAATTTTATGGTAGTAAATTAACGAACGAAGGTATTTTTATTGCAATGGAATTAGCTGCTTGTGATCTTGTTACATTTTGGATCAATAAAGTATCCGAAGGAGAAGCTCAAGAAATTATTGTTATCGGTATAATTATTATTATTTATACATTACGTGCGTTAGCATTTCTCGAGAAATTGAGTATTATTCATGGTGATATAAAACCACAAAATCTTGTTATTGTCCCGAGTGAACAGGCTTTCTGTATTAAATTAATCGATTTTGGTACCGTCGAAAAATTGAGTACTTTACGTGCTCAACTTACAGTCGATGCTACCAAATCTCATACTCTATTTTTTGCTTCACCTGAATTTTTACGACGTGATTCAAAAAACTTGATGTCAAGACATCTTCATAAAAAATCGGATGCATGGGCAGCTGGTGTTATGTTTTATCTTTTATTTTGTGGTGGATTACCATGGAAAGATCAATTTGAATATGAAAATTTTTGTAATGATCCGAATGCAAAAGATGTTGTTGTACCCGAAGATGGTGGCTATAAAATGATTATTGAACTTCTATTAAAGAAGAATCCTGATAAACGTTCAAGTGCTGGAGACACAATTATGCAATTAAAAGCACATCCAGTATTTGGAAAGATTGTCGAATCACTTCATAAAAATTTTTGTCCTGTTGATGATGTATGTGATATGAAGGTGCCTGATGATGTACGACAAGGGTTAAGTAAGTTAATTACTAAATCTACGAAAATATTTGAAATTAGAAAATATTTTTGGATTTGTGTTCCTTTTCCATCGTAACACTGTGGTGAACATATAACTGATGAGAAATTATCGACGAGAAAATGAGATTTTTTTTTTCGTTTTGAAGAATACAGCTTTTCGATAAAATAGTTAAAGTAAAACGAAACAACTAATATGATAGTAGGTTATTGAAATTAGATGTTATGGTCATCAACACTCAATATATAACGTTGGTAAAAGATGCATAGCTAATGACAACGTTTCGTCTTCGTTTCTTCCTTCAAAGAACGATTGGATCCTACGTAAAGAAAAACTTTTAATTTCTGTTTGAAGCGTGACTAAAGAAATGATTCGGTTCTAATGTTTCAAACAGATTTGTTTTATTTTTCGATATGTTACTGATCGAATATTAAATGAAATAAAAACATATTGGGTTAAATCGATTAGATTTAATGTTTGCACTGATTTTCACAAAAAAATTATGTACAACATTCCTTGTTCTCGTATGCTACGAGATCCTTTTTGTATTGGTTTACTTGAATAAATCCATTCTAGTAGTTTATGTTATTTTTAATTGTTTTTAGTTAAACTTGCACGACCTGGACATTATGCTGATAGATCAAGTGCATCATCAAGCAGAGATAAATGTAAGTATAGAAAACGATCACTGATTGAAATATTATATCAAAGATTTGACGTTCATTTTTTTATCTATTGACAGCTGGACCACGTCGTTCATGTCGATATGGTCGAGATTGCTACAGGTTTTATAAAAATATTTTTATCGAAAATTTGTTTATCCTTTACATTATCTTACTATAGAAAAGATTCTGATCATCGTTCAGACTTCGCACATCCAGGTGATTCGGATTACCAAGGATCAGGAGCCTCTTCCAGTGGCCAATCTGGAAAACTGAGATGTTCTTATGGAGCTAAATGCTTTCGGTAGGTGCTTCTTTTTTTCACGGAAATGATTTAAATTACCTTTTCTAAACTTTCAAATGCTTATAATCAGGCAATCTACTGCACAATATATTAGATAGATTATTTTGAAATAAAAGACAAATTATCGAATATAATTGATTTTATAAAAGTTAAATCTTATTTTTTTTTTATTATTTTCTTATTCAAGTACGGATTCAGATCATCTTCAAAAATATTCGCATCCAAGTGGTTCTGATCAAGATCAGCACGGCAAGCAACGCTGCCGTTACGGAGCAGATTGTCATAAGTATGTTGAGCTGTCAAAATTTCTATGATGAAAGTATAAAAAGAAGAATATTTATCAGAAAAAGTTTGATAATAATTCACAAATCAGATCCGAGTTTTCGAGAACTAAAAAGAAAAACTTATCGATTAGAATTTCGTTGTTCTGAAGCCTAAACTAGGGTCATATTGAAAACGCTGAATACAAAATTCGAGTTGAAAGACGAAAGATTTGAATTGTTCAGCTATGTTGTCAATATATTGATTATTAATTCTACTATGGATTATTTTCTTCGAAAAGATATTTCGTCAAAATCTCTACAAAGTGTCATACTTGATTACAATTTAAACATTGTTTTTATTTCTGATTTGTAACAAGATGATAGTTATTTTCAAAGTAAACGTTGATTTTCTCTTATTCTTGTCATATACGCTGTTTTGATCAACATGAACGAATTTTTTTTCATTTTGACATAAGTTAAATTACCAATCTGTATAGTTTTTCAACAAAATCCACTCTTAGTAGTAAACAAAAGAAAGTGCGTTTTCAAATTAACGAATCGTTAGTTTCCTTTCAAAGAAACCAATTGATATTTTAAATATAGTAGCAAAATATTTTGATCGATTGAGAAAAATAACGAATTACATTCTATTTTATCTATTTTTCAAGTACGGATTCCGATCATCTTCAAAAATATTCACATCCAAGTGATTCTGATCAAGATCAGCACGACAAGCAACGCTGCCGCTTTGAAAAGGCCTGCACAAAGTATGTTGAATTTCTTTTGAAATATCTTCAATTTACTTCATGATAATGTTTATCTAGGAGAAATGATCGAGATCATATGAAGAAATATCTCCATGATTGATTCTATTTAACAAATGACATCAAATTCTTTCATTTTTTTTGACATAGTATCAACATTTTCTTGCTTTATTTCAATTTATTCAATAAAATGTCAATTATTGAAATGTCACATTTCAGTGTCAAAAACAATTTCTTCAGATAAATTGCAAAACAGTTGTTGAAGAGATATGCACAGTTAAATATGAACAAAGTAAATCAGAAAGAATGACATATACAGACAAAATTGACTAATTTTTCTTTGTCTTTTGGGTCTATGACTATTGTGTGCAGACAATTGTGTGTATAGACAATTGTGTGTAAGACAGATGTGTGCAAGACAATTGTGTGTATGGACAATTGTGTGCAGACAATTGTGTGTAAGACAATTATGAGAACAGACGGTCATGTGCATGCACGGGTGTGGGTGGGTTAAGAGAAGACCAACACCCACACCCACACCCACACTCACACCCACACCCACACCCACACCCACACCCACACCCACACTCACACCCACACCCACACCCACACTCACACCCACACCCACACCCACACTCACACCCACACCCACACCCACACCCACACCCACACCCACACTCACACCCACCC